GCTGAACATGGAGCTCGCAGTATGATATCTACGACCGAGTATAGCTGGTTTTGTCATGTGAACCCAGCTCAGGTAACATTTAGTTAAAAAGCAGTATGATGCCAGTAAATCCATACCTGTCCTTCAGCTGAGCGCCAAAATTGCTGCCAGCAGGTGCGTATTCCTTCAATTCGTAGATTCAATATGCAGGAGTACATTTTCTCACAGTGCGATTCATACAGTTTGACAAATTGTGCCACAGTTTTGGACGTTACAACTGGATGCGTTGTGTTTCTCAGATCCGGTTCGTATTCGTAAGGTTCGGTTTTGATGTTGCAAGAGAACAAATCTGTGGGGATTGTTGGCAAAAATGCATTTTTAATGATCGTTTAAGTTAAGACCAGAAATAAGTGGGTAGAATCAAACTTGGAAAATCTATCCATTGATTTCGTGGGCGAGTGTATGGATTAATCCACCAGGAATTTGTAAACCACAACAAATTCCCGCTTAAAACTTTCGCGCTACCACTGCGCAGTTTCAGAGGAGCGACAATCTGGGAGGCTCCCTTGCAAAAGGAGATGTTTTCATCCCGTGTCAACGCTTGTTTCGCACTAACATTACGGGTTCTTGCAACCAAACACTGCTTGTCTGATTGGCTTAGTCAGCAGAGATTGCGTTTGTTCTATTTTGAAATCTAAAGGCGTGTCAGGTGAGCTGTTTTACCAACTCATAGCCAACTTGGGTACAAACGATTGAGTTCGAATCTATAAGGAAGAAACTAAGATGTTTGCTTCAAATGTTTCCTCAGAGCCACTCTCATTCTCGATGCTTTCTAGTGTCTTACTTGACTGAATAATGTTGTTGGTCCTCAGCGGCTCTCTTGGAGTATCAGTAGATCTTACCGTTTGCATTAGGACTCTTGGTTACACAAACGATATTGGTTAACGGTCTCCAACTTTAATTTTTTTTCAATCATCAAGCACTTCCGGTTAGACTGGAAGTAAGTCCAATAAAAGAGGATTTTTCATCATCACAGTGGAGGATGTCCAGCCTTCCTCAGTTGGTTTTAACAGAGAGCCAAAAATAGGTTGAGCCCTTAAAAAAATTTGGTTCCATCAGTTTCGAAACGGTAGAGCACGAATCAGCAACACAAAGGAAACGTTAATACATTTCTGTTGAAAAACTCGGTTATAACTCTTGAAATGAAGTTGAGTGAGTACACTGTGGCCTGTTGATCCCTACTAACATAAATCTAAGAGAACTGGAATCTACCGTCTTTCGAGGAAGCAAAAAGCATGATCAATAGTCTTTAAGGTTATTAGGAGAACCAGTTCCGAACGTAACGAGATTACATAACAGCCAATGGGATAGCCGTTTTCGTTGAGACAGATTTCATTGGTGTTCTTCACTCGTCCTTGACAGATGAGCTGTATCACTTTTCTGACCCGCTTGTTTGCGACAGTGATCAATAGATCAGCCGGTTCGCACGTTCATTGACTTTTTCTGGTTTGGCCAAGTGCACTAGGCGATCAGGCGGCTATCCAGACCGGGGTTCACGGTAATAAGAAGGCGTTAAGGGACTGTGGTCCACAACAACGGTAAATACTCAAAGTACTGTGAAAAGAAAATAATTTCATAATGGTTTCCCGGACCGATTTGACCCAGCAATGCACACTAAAGTGACCGAAACGCGTCTTCCGTTAACAAAACTCTAAGGTACTTGAAGTTCCGCTGTCAACGCTTCCATGCCCAGAATGGTGCGACGATAAATGAAAATCTTTTTGTGAACGTTGATTTGCTTCGTCTGCGGGCCGTCTAGGGAGTCAAAGAGTGGAAAATAAGCCGGTAAACTTTGTATTCCGACCTTCTTGCCGATGGTGTAACGTATGCAGCAGTAATTCTGGAAGTGTTTTGGGCAGTATATTCGTTTCTCCGGGTGAAACTAGCCGCAACTCAACGTAAAAGTCAATGCAGACATTTTCTCGACTCCACTTAAGTTGGAATGTCTTGCTAATATTGATTATCCTGTCAGACTGATAGTAATGTGGGGATATTTTTGGAATTTTGATTGAGTTTCCGCCCTGTAAGTGAGGGCCACTGGACAGCTAGTTTGTCTTAACTTTAAATACTCGGCATTGCGCATCTCACGAGACTGTAATGGAGAGTTTATGAACTGTGAACTGCTGAATAGTAGTTTGAATAATTAACTATTCGGCCACGGCCAGAGCGCTACAAATCTTTCAATCACGGAAAGCACGTCACGTGGTCAAGCATTGATTAGATTATCGAGTGACGACTACTCAGAATGTGGCTTTCTTCATCTCTCGAAATGGTTCCGTTTACTTCAGGATGGCTGTTGCTCTATCCTGTTTGAGTGCGACTTATTCTCATTACTGATCATCTTACTATATGGGATGCCACGGATCTTAATATCCCCTGCGTTTCATGAGTTGTGCACTGCTGAAGATGGAACGGCTGTTCACTGATTATAGGCATTTTTGCATGAACTGGCTTCACTGTTAGGGTGAAATATTGATTAAATCTTTGAAAGGTTTTCATGCAACCATCAAATTGGTGGCGGTGCTTCAGTAAAAGGCAGTCTCTCTCTCTCACATCACTGATTTTAATTGGCAAATAAACGCCCTTTGTTTCAGTGGAAAAAACAGTTAATGAGTACTTTCGGTTCACTTGTTGTAATCAGCAGCTGATCCTGCCATTTCAGACAGTAAATCCTCAAGGAAAGCCTTTGGATCAATCGACACAACTGGTGAGATGCCTTTTCAATCACGTTTACTTGAGTAGAAAATTCTGGTCAGCTAATAGTATTCTAATGGTCAGCCAGAAGTTTCTAGCCGAATCCCCTTAGTTCGAGTGGATCAAGTCCCCTATCAGTGGCTTGAAACGAATACGGCTAATTTTATTGCTAAAATATGCTTTGTAACAGAAAACGTATGGTGCCCAGCATCATACAGTGGCAGTATATATAGCATATATAGTATGTAGTGTATATATAGTGTAGTATATGTAGTATAGTATACAGTATATATAGTATATAATATATAGTATATATAGTATATATAACATTAATAACATATATAGCATATGTAGCAAAGTACATGTATCATATAGTATGTAATATATAACACCTAAATATGATGGGAGGTACATAACTGTAAGCTCTAACAATACCATTATATGACTTGCTTGCTTCTGTAATAGTTAGTTTGGCCATCTGACATAGTCCCATCAGGTCCGGAATGCGGAACTTCGCATGAGGAGATGAACCTAGGTCCTTTAACAATACCATTATATGACTTACCTGCTTCTGTAATAGTTAGTTTGGCCATCTGACATAGTCCCATCAGGTCCGGAATGCGGAACTTCGCATGAGGAGATGAACCGAAATAGGTCCTTTCCGATCCTGTGTTTAACGGACGAGGTGTCTTTGTCAGTGGGCTGTGGTCGAAAAAATAAACAGTATATTGAGAATGCACTGCAGTCTCCGGCGAACTTGGCAGCAATTTCCCAACAGAGGTCACTCAGAGCTGCGTACGTTGTACATAACCACCTGCAGAAACATGAAAACCAGGTAGCTGGGATTGGTACGGGCCCTGAATTCGTACGGATCTGACTTCTGCCCAACATCCGTGAGCAGCAACATTAGGGTACTTTGATGAAGTCGACTAATCTAACCGAGGTCAACATCATCATCATCATCATCATCATCATCATCATCATTATTATTATTATTATTATTATTATTATTATCATTATTATCAGCTATAAGAACCGCGTACTTTTCGTGCAGTAGTTGTAGCTGCCACAGTTTTGTCAACCGGTGGTTTGGGATGGTGGGGTGTGTAGCTGTACATTGGATGCGGGAGCTGATAAATCAGTGCAGTTTTGTTAGTGGACTTCTAAGTGTGGAGGTTTAAAAGAGGGCTATGGATTCAAGATTAAAGCTTAGATTCATGAGCCCCATTGAGTGCGCGACTGGGCCATGTCTGACAGTGTCTATGACCATTGGTGTGGCTCCTCTCTGGGTCTCCATCCAAGAAGACGGAAATAACCAGCAGAGCTGAATTTGCTGGTAATGGCTTTCACACTTTGTTGAAAGCTTAGAATGGTCGGTATTTTTAAACTCATGTTTGAACTGCATTTTATCATCGTCATCACCAAGATCGACGGCACAACATCAATGTTCAACACCGAGCCGTACAACCATTATTTATTTGAAAGCGCTATTGTGAAAAGAGGAATAAAAGTGAACGAGAAGGTGACCTGGGGCAAGCCTACCAAAATCATTTCGAGATACCCACATCTCCAGTCACTTGTTGGGATAATCTGGATGGGAAGTAGCAACAAGAACTCTATTGATATCGATTGGCGGCCGTATCCTTCAGCGCCCTCAACTAGTGTGATTCACACGATGTCCTTCCTGGGAAGCAAACGACTCCAGCAGCATCTCCTGTACACAGCGTTGCCAGGTTAAAGTTTGGCTACCTCTCTACTTCTGCCACTTTGAATCGGGCAACCAAAACAGCTCCGAATTCAGAAAATGATGGTTCACCGTGAGCAATCCGTGGCCCAACCAAAGCAGTTTCCGATAATGTACACATTCGCCCAAGTAATGCGTTGGCCTAAACCAACCTAAGTGAGCTATGCTCCTGAAAGTACCCTTGTTGAAGATCTCAAGAAGTTTCAGTTACACTGCTTGAATAGGCGAAGCCCCATAGTCATGCGACAAAAAACCCACACTGTAGTAGCCTGGTTCATATGTCTCTTTACATTAAGGGGTGTACAGCTTTGAAGACATAAGTTTTCCAAATTAACCTACGCGAGTCAGGCTTTGCAGATTCGTGAATTGACTTCATCTGTCACACTACAATCAGACCTATTACGACTTCCAAGATATGTAAAACGCTCAACAAATTCGGGTGCCTCTCTATGGATTAGGAGTGGCGTGTTCAGTGACTGCATGTTTGGGAGCATGACCTAACACTTTGTGGATGAAAAAAGCGTTCCAAAGGACGAGATGACATTGGTCAGTTCATCAAAAAACACTCGCGCCTCCTCCTCATCTTCGAAGACGAGAAGGATGTCGTCTGCGTATCACAAATCGACAACAGACTGTTTGAACAACAATGTTTTGAAGGCCTTCCAGCGTACGTCCCATTATCTATCGGTTACCAAATAAAGTAGGAATGAGGAGGGTAGGTACTCGTTGAGAAGAATACTTTGTGTACAGAAGCTTTTGGAGAGCTCTGCGTATATTCTCACACGTCCGGACGTGTGAGGATGCAAAGAACTTATTTTCTTCAGAACGATTCTTAGGTATTCATTGATGGGCAAGCGTGTCAATCAGAAGCTGTCGATCAACCGAGTCAAATGCGCCTTGGAGGTTATTCACACGAATGGTGTTGTTCTAGCACCTGAGGGAGTGTAAACAATCAGTCAAAGCAACCCTCTCCAGGCCAAAATCCCGCCTGATGCTTTCGAAGCAGTGTTCAATGAGCTCTCATAAGACGACAATGGAGAAGTGACACCGGAGTCAGGATGCTTCTCCTATGGTTACCGCACTCTCCACGAGGACCTTCTTCAAGATGGGTACTACCTCCAAATGTCTCCTAGAGGTCCCTTTTTCAAAACTCAGGCAAACAGATCAGCCAAGCGCTGATTGAGGACTTCGCCATTCTCTTTGATCAACGCAGTTGAGTGTCCAAACCATTCAGCTTTCACGACATGAATTACTGTGTCCGTTGTAGGGTTCCTCAAAGTTTGAATTAAAAACTCAGCTCAAAAGGTCATCCGTGTGTCAAATTGATGCACAATGACTTCACACTAGTCATCTCCTGAATCCCCACAAGGATAACAACAAAGCTGTTATCCCAAACTGGCCGAATTACTTCCAACCGGATTGATAGAATATAAAGTTTCTAACTCTCAAGGTTTTAGAAAACGGAAACCTCCCTCAAGCGCGAACAGTTCCACATGTTTGGACATAAAATTTCCGATGAACCCAGTGTGCGCTGGTGGAGTAGTGGTCACACGCTTGCCTCGCATGTCGGAGTTCAAACCCCGGCTATTGGATTTGATTTGCACTGCTGATGAGGTCTAATAAGAGCGAAACTCGAGTCCAGTACCTACGCATTTGGTGTGGACTCATCAGGAAGATTCCGTCTGGACAGGAGGGCGATTTTCCGAATGAGAGTCAGGTGAGTGTGCATTCCACAAAATCCGGCAACCACAGACAGTTAATGTGTACCATTTAACCTGCGTCGAAAGCAAGGTTTTATTAGCATGTGCTGACGAAAAAGTAATGTTGGTAGTTCCTCCCTCTCTAGTAAAAAACAAGACTGTAAAATGTAAAATTTAAGGTGTGCTGAGTTATCTGTTCTACAAAAATGGAGTACCATTCACCTCCAAAGAATTATACAGACGTCAAATTGGTTGATTGATTTGTTGATTACCATCCCGTCAACGTTTAGCTTCAACCACTTTACCAGAGTTTATTTGCCATCTCGTTAACCCTTATCTCCAAGCGCTTTCACAGTTCGGTTACTACCTCATCAATGTTTACCTTTAACCAATCATATAATCTGTTTAAAGCATGCACACCCGCTGCTTCAATCCTGTTTCGATTATGTCATGAACATTCGCCCGACGACTAACCGAGATTATTGGAATCTTATCCTAAGACAAACAATGCAAGTGCATCCTCACTCACTACGTTAAGTTTATATATATAAGGCCGATGCTCATCACTTCACACAGCGCTTTGATCAGAGTCAATTCAAACCCACGCACGACTCACTTTCCATGAATAGTCTGGGCTCGACAACGTTTTGGATTAAACGACAAGAAACAGGCCAGATTTCAACACGCTCGGTCAAGACCCGCATTCAATTCTACTGCGTCCTACAAACCTCGGTTGCATCTACTACAACTTACCAAACGAAGAACTCGACAAGTCTCTTTTCTTTTTGTGTATTATTCAATCGTACTAAAGTGTCTCTGGTAGCCACTATACATACCTGTTTATTGTTAGTATTATTCACCTTCTGATATTATTTCGAGTAAAAGACGATACCACTAATAGATTCGATTGACTGGTCGGATTGATTATCTGTTGCTCTTCGCTGTCTGATAGGTTTGAGGGCGAACGGGAGACTCATCGGCATAGTTAGCAGTTGAAACTTCTACCCAAGTCACTCTGAAGTGGGATGTCTCAGCTTTAACATTCTCAGAACAATCTAAAAACATCTCTCTCATGGATCAGTTTTGCCTACGAAGATACGATTGAAAAAACCTCACCTGTTCGGGATGTACAGATGGTTAGATTGTTAGATAAGTCGTCAGGAAAGTGATCAGAACGGTTTGTTAGACTGACCCTCATACGAAGCCGATAACCCATTCCACTTGTGATTTTGTACGTTGTGGCATTTTGACCTCGGTTAACGGAGAAGGAAGTACTTTCGCTAGTAAATTCGCAAAGTAAGGTGTATTTATATGGACCAACCACACTACTCATAAGGTTGTTGGCAACTCTGTGACAGTCCACAACCAGTCTCGCCCTTCTTGGGGAGGTAGGTGAAGTTTTCCGGTTCCCGCCACTCTCATGTTCTACTTGAGTTCAATTTGTACGATTTGGCGATATACACTCATGTTTGATTTGGTTCTAACGGGATTCTCAACATAAAGCTAGCTGAATCTCTCTTTTGTGATATTCCTCAACTGAATACGCCACTGTGATGCAATTATATCTCCTAATGAAGCCAAATTAATTTGCAGGTGAGTAGATTTGGCGAAGGCGTGTATGCCTCGGCAACCGCTTTACTAGTGAAAGGAAGAGGGCCCTTGCCGTGGTTATCTATTCGGAAATGTCAACTGACCGGTTACAGACCATTGAACAGGAAAGCAAAACACTAATCTGCATCTTAGTTCCAAAAACTGGACACAGATCTTCTCCCGAACGAGTCTTCCTAGAGATTCGATGCCTCCACCCATTCGTTGGTCAAATCCAAGCAAATGTTCCACAGTGGTCCCACGAATTCCGAACAGAATTCCATTTTCCAATCGGCCCAAAGTGAAATTCTACGAACAACACATACTACTCGCGTGCCTCCCGATCAGTAGTATCACCGTTACACTAGTATGTTTAACTGCCGATTCTCATGCGTGAGTTTAACTGCGGGTCAGCCCATAGAACTCCGGGTGTGACATACTACTCACTAGAAGCGCACATCTCATCCACTCTGGATTTGAGCCGCATATTTTTGTTTGGCATGGATAAAGCATTAGTCAGATAAATCCTATTTATGTGGTCGGTAACTGCCACCTCTCTGGATGGAGATCCCGGAACTCATCTCACCAATGGTTAAAGACACTGGCAGAAATGACTCAGTCGCTCAGTCAGTGGCATTCTTGTATCAAAGCTATCGCCTTCAATGCATAGCTGCCGGATTCCCGAGCTAACTGAGAATACCACTGCCTCCAACCAAGTCTTGGCTCTATGTTCCACACTGTCCCGAAACCATAGCAGCTGGAACCAATGTACCTATGATAAATTGATTGATTGGTTGATTGGTTGACTGACTGACTGATTGATTGATTGGTTGATTGATTGATTGATTGATTGACTGACTGACTGACTGACTGACTGATTGATTGATTGATTGATTGATTGATTGACTGATTGATTGATTGATTGATTGATTGATTGACTGATTGATTGATTGATTGATTGATTGATTGACTGATTGATTGATTGATTGATTGATTGATTGTACACAACTCCAAAATACCAGATAAGGTTTGTATCTCTTCAATCCTGAATTTGTCTATCTTACTTGACTGGACATAACAACCAACAGTACTGTTGAAGGTGTAACGGAATTGCAATGGGGTTCACAAGTTACTGACTTGGTAAGCACATAGACGGTGGTCAGTGAAGGAAAGCGGTTAAAAAACCTTTTCTAACATGCAACCAACACTAATGCATATGCTAGTGTTTTTCTTCAACATTCCAAGCCATAAGTTCTATCAAACCTAACTAGAAAATCCAATTCTGGCATCTGAAGGTTCGAACTTACCCAGGTTTAGCTTCATCGTACAGATTACAGCAAGATCTGCTGGTCAGCTAGTCCATGAAACAAAATCATAAAGATATAAGATTAAGACTGAAAATATGCATATTTTGACGATATATAGCCGAATTCGCTCATTAGCTACCATCAATACTGTGTTCCCTTTGCTTTCTTCATATCCTTTTATTCTTGCTTCTTTCTCGCGTCTCTGTACACCCCTGATGTGCGGCGGGACCAAATGTGCGCAATGTGCCAGATTGAGCTTTGATCGTCGATGGTGGATATGCATGACTGCTTACTTAACATACGCGGCATGCGTATTACTGGAACTGCCTCAGTAGATGCTTTAGGCTCTTCCGGTCACGCCTGGAGTGGCGAAAATTTGGTTACCCCGAGGTCCTGAACGACGATCGAATAATCGGGTTGGATGTGTTAGTCAAGTTTTCTCCTGTCAGTAGTATCCGCCCTGGTAGTAATCCGAACGCATACAACCCCTCCAAAGTTTTCGCTGATTTTTATTATTAATTTTGTGACCACTTCGTGGCAAGTGCCTCCATTAAACTAAGCGAAAGTTCTACTCTTCCGAAGTCGATCAGGATTGTTTGTTTTTTAAGCCAAAACCGCTCACTTAGATGCCAAACCTCAAAATTCTTTGTTTCAGACTCTCATAAAGATAAATTGATGATAGTGTAGAGAGATTTGATCATTTGCAATCGAGATTTTGTACTTTAAGTGGGACCAATCCATACCGGAAGATCGGGAAGCACTATAGTTATGACTCATCCTTATTGAGAATCGTCAACAGTTTGTACTTTACGGAACTGCAGTACGGAACTTCGAACCGGGGATAGTGGTTTGAACACACCCATCTGGCCGCGAGCAGCTGATCAGCAGTACGATTGGCTCACACTTGGGCAGGATATAGCAACGTTCATTGTTCCACTTAAAGTGGTCACGTGCTGACTGGCTGGCTGCATGACTGAAGATCACTCAGACGAAAGTTTCACTCATCGGGTGAATTGTATTATTACTCTAAGCTACTTATAGACTGCTGATAGTGTTGGGAGACTTGGATATTTGTGAGATGCGCATTGCTGACAATTCCAAATACGAATGAGATGGCTGTACAATGCGGCTTCACTTGCAGGACGAAATCTCTGTTGAAGAATTCAGGATAATCAAAATGTCTGGAATCCAGAACATCTCTGGATGGAAAGCATACCTGTCGCTGTTTTCTTTCTCGTAAAAAGCTAATGCACTCTCAGCATTACTTTGGTATTCACAAAACCTACCAGTTGGATACAAACGGTCCAGAACCCGATGGGATATTCATTGGTAAAGTTTCTGATTCTAAACTTGTGGTGTTCCTGGATGCGTTTGTACCGCGGACGTCGAGAGGACGTGTGCCACGGCAGCTTGTACTACGGTGTACGGATGGACCAACACACATGGGACCGGTTAAACTACTCTGGCTGTTCGCTCTCATGCTATTCCGAGGTTGCATCGAACGTGAATTGCTATCCCATCCACGCCAGGGTTGGTTGACATTATGGTTTATACTGCCAGCATTTGTCAAATCACTCAGTCGCTGTTCCGAGTTTGATCGATGAATGCAGGTTCCTGCTGAGCCTAGAGAACGTGAACCATAGTTCATTCCAAGGGACAAACTTTGTCGTTCTCCAAACGTTTGTCGTGAAACTCCGTTAGGAATTCCGAGTGAATTCGTTCCAGACTTGTATTCTTCAGACTTGGCGGATGATGTGCCAATAGATGGACAGGCGCGGCCACCAGAATAAGGACCTTCTTTCTTTTGGCTGAAGGAATGTTAGTGAAGATGGAATGAGAATGTTGAAGATAGAATTAGAAATCTACCATGAAGTTCTAGAGGATACTGATGAACAAGTAACAACGAGGAGATAATCGAACACTAAGGTCACAGTGATGCTTGGTTTACTGGCGGTTTTATTCGTCTGTTCAACGAATCCATTTGGAAGGAATTCGAACGAAACCTGTTACACGAAATTAGGACCAGTGTGTTTGGTCTGGGTGGGTGCATGCGAGTAATCTGTGACAACGTGAACACGAGTTTTGTTGCGTTAAATTGCACCCACACTAAAATTAACTAAACTAAGCAGTAGGAGAATCATGCGAACGTTCATATGGGTCTTTATAAGAGGATAAAATTAGCTATCGAGGAGAACGTTGTGTTGGTTTGTTCGCTAAGTTGAGTATCTTGATCGCAAACATTTAACCACCAAATGAGATGATATCGCCAGTGCATTGTTAGAAGACGGGGTAGAGCGAAGCGATGAGTCAGTAGTTGTGCGCTGAGTAGTAGTGCGTGTGTCAATGTTGGTGCTGCAAGCTTAGGTTGAGCTTCGATCAGCCTTGGCTGTCTAGGTGGGCATTTCTATTGGTTGGCCTGCTATCCTGCGTCCTGATTGGTCGGCGACTTTTAGAGATAGCCTCCTATCTCAAAAGTCACGTGGTCATCGATCAGCGAACATATCATCAATCAGGGTAACGATTTGCTACCTGATCGCGGTGGCAACTCAGAAAAGCTTCTGAGATGCCATAAGTGATGGCCTTCACGTTACGACACGTTATCAGGTCCACAAAACCGCCACGGATGGGAACATTGACATTGACATAGGAAAAGCCGATGAACCCATCATATTACGCAATATTTTTGGTCTTTATGGACGAAAAAGGGATTGAAAAATGTGCGAAAATTCGGTCGCTGCAGGTGGTATGAAGTAGTTTTTCAAGCAATACCACACAGAGCGGCAACTGGGTATGACAGTGGCTGTAGGAGAGGACCAACAGACGTGAAATTGCACGCGTCTTTGGATGCTAATCACGTGCCGTGAATCAGCCACAAATAGCAACGAGGCATTCTGAATGAGACAGGCATCCATATTACTTCAGAAAAACCACAGAAATCTCCGGAATAATCAACCCATACGTATGACAAACAAATTCAATCACCGTTCAGTTCCGGAAAAGCCCCTTGAAAGTATGTAAGTATGGAAAATAGCGAAACTGAAGCTTACTTACCCCAACTGGCTTCTTGTTTCACCGGTGACCTGATTCAAGGAGGAGTTACTTTTCATTCGAATCCCGTAATAGTGGTACTTGGAATTTCCCCTTAAAAATGCAAGAATAAAGGCCAGGTGTGTTACAGATTCGCCGGAAAGCAAGTGTGCTGTCCCGTCCTAGTATCAAAAGAATTCTGATGTTTGTATCCTCATGGTCGCCTGACCAACCACAGTGCGCTTGGATCCATGCCTCCATTGACCGACACGTCTTTGGTATGAAATGAGCATTCATTTGCTCGACAGCTACTCTCATTTTCACACGAATTTGATTTTGATAAGATAATCAAAGGAATTTATCTCACTCTATCGTTTATGATGGTCCAGTTGGACGGAACGTGCTGCATCAGAACGTTCCATGCTCCCGTTGGTACGGTGTTGGAAACGCCACCCGTTCATTTGAAGCTGACCATTATAAATAAGTGATTCAGCTGAGTCCCCGTCAATAACATATCAGAGACAATTGCACGATGCCTAAGCCAACACGGAAGAAGTCGAGAGTTCGGGTTCGAACCACGGAACTTTCAGTCACTGGATGAGGGTGTCTCAACCTCTAAGCAGTCTCTAAATCCACATACAGAGTAACTAAACCTCAATATAGATCGCCAGTGTGTTGGTATCTTTCAGTCATTCCACGTGAATTTCGCTTGTACAATCAGGGGATAGCTTACTGTTCTACGTATTGTAACCATTCACTGAACAAGTTAGTGATCGGCAGATGCACACACGGAAAAGTTATGTAGAAAGTTTATATATGGATCACTGGCAGATCACATATTCCTGATATAACATGGCATTTTTGAGATGTACTTCCACGTACATAGGAACACGTTGGACCCGTCTGTCAGTTCCTTCGGTAACCCTCGTGATCTCATTCAACATGGCCTAGTACATATTGCCAGATCGAAGATTTCTGCGGCTCCAACGAACGAAATTTTCTTCCCATGGTGGGAAACGTAAGTTTGATCGCAAAAAAGATGACAGATAATAGTACTCTCATGCCACAACGGCCGTCGCGTGAAGCCATCAGCCGGGTCGCCCTAATTACTGCATACAGCAGGGTTGGTAGGCGAAAACTGCTGACGCCTCCCTTCTAACACCTTCACATTTTCCGTCTTCCACCCTCTTCCGCCCAAATTTGAATACATTCTACGCAGGTCCCAGCTCTTGGACTGACAGTTTTGTTCGCCCTGCATCGCACTGAGCTTCAACTTCTGGATGTTCGAAGTCTGTTTTCAAACCCTGAAAGCCTGTCTACAACCATGAAAGATGGTGGACAGGCAAACCTCTCCGTAGTCAACAGCTTGGAGACAGCTGAAGCTCAGCATGTTCGAAAACAAGGGGCGTTTATTTCGAATAATACACTAATTTACATATGAATTTGGTTTTCAAATAAGACTCGCCTGGGATCCAGCTGAATATCCAACTGATAATGTTCTTAATCAATCGAATGTGCTGCATCAGTCCGCCTTTCAGTTCAGTTGGTACGATATTCGAGATGTCGCGATACATTGTATAGACGTAATACACTACTCATAAGGTTGCTGAAAACTCGCTGACACCCCGTAATCGGCTTCGCTCTGCTTGAGGCTCAGCAGGTTCACGCAGTTCCCGCAGTTCCGTCAGATTTATATTCTACTTAAACCATGTTTGGACGTTAGTTGCACATGGTATTCTCACACTAATTAGGTTTCCGCGAGAGGCTCAAATGAGTTCCTATTGATTCTCTCGTTTATGAGGTCCCCGAACAACTGAATGTGCTGCACCGTGTTTTGATTGGTACGATATTAAAGATATTGTGAATAGTATAATACGTCCATACAAACAGCACTTATTTAAAAACAAGAACCATAGAATGTTGATCGTGTGTGGGGATTTTTTTAGTTTAACGGAGCTTTCCTCTTGAAAGTAAATCCAATGTATTCGAGAAATACACTCATTTGCAAATCAGTTTGGTTTTTACGCCCCAAGAAGGGCGAAACCGGTCATGGGCTGTAGAACACCTTTCAGCAACCGTGTGAGTAGTTTCCTTCATGAAAATATACTGCAATATCTCGATTATCGTGCCAACTGTATAATGAGACGGCGTGTGTGCAGCACATTCAGTTGTAGAATAATATGGACGAGAGTTTCAGTTGAGTCTCTCGTGAAAATCAAAGTGATTTGCAAACGAGTGTATTTCTCGAAAAGACAATGTTCACTGCTCTAGTGGTTGAATTATCTCAGAGACGACTGTATGTGTGTATCTGTCTAGGTAACAGCTAAAGGCCAGATTATTCACCCAAGTTCGATCTGGATAAATAGTCCCCGAATATTATGGGCTGTCGAAGAGTTTTCAGCAACCTTGTGGGTAGTTTCCTTTATGTAAATCCAACGTAGTTGGATAGTCAAGAATCAGTGTGTCGCTGTTTCATCCTTCTAGGGAATCGTCAGCAGTACGCATTCGACGAATCTCCAGTAGGGATCGTGCGAGGTGTTTGCTGAGGAGGGTGTGTATCTCCCATGCAAATCGAACAACCCAAGGGGGGTCCCATAATGTCAGTGGAAGTTCAATTAAGCAATGCTTCCTTTATCTAGACACTAATGGTGTACTTCATATACGTTACCTTACTACACGGCAACCTCCTCTTTTCAAGCGAGACTAAACTGACCTAGTCCCTTGAATGTTATTCTTTGAACTATAAATTTGGCTTTGTTTCAATTTGGTGGCAATCAAGTGGCCAGTTTAAACCCAAATCGTACATCTGCCGTAATGTTGCCGCCTTCTTCGTTAGGCAAACCTTGTTTGTTGAGTTCACTTAGAGCCATTGCAAATGATGTGTGGTTAACAAACGATTGCGGAGGTTTACAAACGTAACAGTGACTACCTGGTTCCAAGCCTCCTTGTCCGTAACCCGACGAAAATCGATCGAATAAGTTTACCAAACGAGGCGGGGTTCATCGGCTCCAGCCAGTTTTCCAGACAATGGCTTAGGTAGTGTGAGTACAATGCACTTCGAGAAAGGCTGACTCCGTCTGCAGACTCGTAGTTGTCAAGCAACCATTGTACCTGAAGCAAAGTTGAGAAAAATGGACTTCTTAGTTTACATTAACTTAAGTGATGACTGGAATTCCAAGGAAATCACTATATCGATCTCAGTAAGTGTAATCATTACACTACAAATTGCTGGTACGACCCCGTTCCCAGAATGAGAAAGTTGACAACCTAGGATTACCGGCAACGGCGAATGTCAGACTTGCGGACGTGTGAGAGTATAAGGCGAGCTCTCCGAAAGCTTCCGTACACAAACTGGTGTCTGTCAGGGATGCCCAATTTTCCACCATTACTATCTAACTTCCTGATCGATGTTTAACGATGGAAGGCCTACGCAACTCCCATGTTCAAAAAGCCTGACCAACGTCATCCCGTCCTTTGGTAAGCACTTTGTACCCACAAAGTGTAAGGTCATGCTCGTGGACATGCAGTCACTGAACACGCCACTTACAATCCACGAAGAGGCACTGGAAGTTGTGGAGCGTTTTACGTATCTTGAAAGTTGTATTAGTTCTGGTTGTATTGTGACAGATGAGGTCAATGCAGGTATCAGCAAGGCTTGGGTCGCGTTTGCTAATTTGAGACACCTATGGCGTCAACGCAGTATATCTCTGAAGCTCATGGGACGTGTGTATCGGGCCACAATACGGGCTGTTCTGTTGTACGACTGTGAGACCTAGCCTGTTTGAGCAGCGGAACTGAGACGTATCCTTGTGTTCAACAATCTTTGTCTCAGGACCATAGAAGCTTTAGGTTTGTGTCGGCGAATCAGTAATATGCAGTTAG